TCCGTGGCGTGCCCTCAAAGTTGGCCAGGTTGAAGAGTTCGGTCTAGACCTGCTCTATTTGAAAAGTGTCCTGAGATAACTTCTGTTATGAATTGGCGCTATACAAATAAAATTGAATTGAATTGAATTGAATTGAAGTTGAATCGAATGTCAAACTGTGATGCCATTTCCGGCATTAAAGGGCTTCTGTTTTAACTAACTCCTCCTACAGATTTTATCAGATTGACTTCAAATTCGATCACTGCAATCTAGACACATGGGTGATCAAAAGTTGTGCTATTTGTGACTGTATGTTTAACCGTGTGCCCGTGACGACGTGTCGAATTCCACCGATTGGCCATCAAACAGATAGTACTCATGTCTTCATTGTACAGTCCCACCCTGAACACGTCCTCATAACTTCAGCGTACATGGTCCAATCTCAATGAAACTTCACATGTTTGATAACAGTCCCGCCCTGAACACATCTACATGACAATATTCAGACATAGTGATCGTGCCACTTACTGACAACAGGAAGTAAGCGCTGCGTGGTGATTTTGAGCTGATTTACGTGAAATTTTCATGTTTTGGTCCGCACGTGTTACGACGGCACGTGACGCGGCTGCAGCATGCCCTGAGTTGCGTGGTTTCATCAAGACAGTTTAATAGAAAAGCACAGTTCAGGTAGTTTGAAGGAACAATATTGTGCCTTAACGATCGTTAAGTTACTACGTTCAGTCATCCCGATGTTAATGCATTAGTTAACATTACAGTCCTGTTTGTTACTTAGCACATTTCAGTGAAATTTAGTAGAAAATTAGGTCATGAGAAAAACAGATTTTCAGCTGAGTTTTTGGAGTTGGTTAAAATAATACAAAATACAAATATATTAAGAACAGATCTTCACCAATTTGACAATACATTTAGAAAAAAGCTGCAAAGTGATAAAACAACAACAACACAGACAACAGCAGAAACTCTTTCTGGAGTCTGTTTAAAGATGAGAAGGACTCTGAAGCATGTGACTGAAACATACTGAAAAAGATAGAGATTTTTTCTTTCCCAATACCAATACCGATACCACTGTATTTCCTGTAGTTATTCTTACACTGCTGAGAAGTACCGGAGTGCCGTTTCAGAGCTAATAAATGTTGTGGTATTGAATCTGTGCACAGACATAAATACTGGCCAAAACCCCATAGAGACTGTGTCTGTCCCCCGACCACCTAAACTATTTAAAGAAATAAAAACAAGAGGAGTTCAACATAAAAATCTAATAAAAATTAAAACCAACTCCTCAGTAGCACAAAATAAGAGAATGAAATGTGGGCTGTTAAATATCAGGTCTCTGTCCTCTAAAGCTGTTTTAGTGAATGAATTAATATCAGATTATGATATTGATTTACTTTGTCTTACTGAGACCTGGTTGTCCCACGAGGAGTATGTTAGCCTAAATGAATCCACCCCCCAGTCATATTAATACTCACATTCCTCGAGGCACAGGCCGAGGAGGTGGAGTAGCAGCTATATATGATTCGAGCGTTTTAATGGACCCTAAACCTAAACTAAATTATAATTCATTTGAAAGCCTTGTTCTTAGCCTTTCTCACCCAAACTGGAAAACACTGCAGCCAGTTCTATTTGTTATAGTGTACCGTGCTCCTGGACCGTACTCTGACTTTATATCTGAATTTTCAGAGTTTCTATCAAGCTTAGTCCTTAAATCAGATAAAGTAATTATTGTAGGTGATTTTAATATTCATGTGGATGTTGACAATGACAGCCTTAGTAATGCATTTATATCATTAATAGACTCAATTGGCTTCTGTCAGAGTGTAAATAAACCAACTCATTGTTTTAATCACACTCTTGACCTTGTTTTATCATATGGCATTGATATTGAACATTTAATAGTCTTCCCACATAATCCTTTCCTATCTGACCATTATTTAGTAACTTTTGAATTCATACTATTAGATTATAAGCCATTAGGCAAAACTTCCTACAGCAGATGTCTATCTGACAGTGCTGTAGCTAAATTTAAGGAGGAGATTCCTTCAGTGTTTAATTCAATGCCATGTCTGAATTTAACAGAGTCCTATAACAACTTTAGTCCCTCTGAAATTGATAATCTTGTCGATAGTGCTACAGGCTCACTACGATCAACATTAGACTCTATCGCTCCTATAAAAAGGAAATTATTAAAACATAGGAGACTAGCACCTTGGTATAACCACCAAACCCGCCAGTTAAAGCAAATAGCTAGGAAATCTGAAAGGAAATGGCGCTCTTCCAAATTATCAGAATATCGCTCAAATTGGCAAGATGATCTTAAGATTTATAGAAAGGCCCTCCGTAATGCCAGAGGAGCCTATTACTCAGCACTAATAGAAGAAAATAAGAACAACCCTAGGTTCCTCTTCAGCACTGTAGCCAGGCTGACAGAGAGTCACAGCTCTATCGAGCCACATATCCCCATAAACTTAAGTAGCAATGACTTCATGAGCTTCTTCTATAATAAAATTATTACTATTAGAGAAAAAATTAATCACCAACTGCCATCAACGGTTATCAGTGGCTCTCCAAGTTCAGGGACTTCTGTCAATGTAAACTTAGATGTATATTTAGACTGTTTTTCTGCTATCGATCTTCATCAGTTAACTTCAATCATTTCTTCATCGAAGCCATCAACCTGTCTGTTAGACCCGATCCCAACTAGGCTGCTTAAAGAAGTTGTTCCCTTAATTGGCACTTCTTTACTGGATATGATTAATCTTTCTTTATTATCAGGATATGTACCACAGTCCTTTAAAGTAGCTGTAATTAAACCCCTTCTTAAAAAGTCTACTCTTGACCCAGGGGTTTTAGCCAACTATAGACCGATTTCTAACCTCCCGTTCCTCTCTAAGATTCTGGAGAAAGTAGTCGCCAAAGAGTTGTGTGACTTTCTACATAACGATAGTTTATTTGAGGATTTTCAGTCAGGATTTAGAGTTCATCATAGCACAGAGACAGCTCTGGTTAAAGTTAATAATGACCTTCTGACTGCTTCTGACAATGGACTTGTCTCTGTACTTGTATTATTAGATCTTAGTGCTGCATTTGACACCATTGACCATGATATTCTTTTACAGAGACTTGAGCATCAAATTGGCATTAAAGGAACCGCACTAAGCTGGTTTAAGTCATACTTATCAGATCGTTCTCAGTTTGTACATGTTAACGATGAATCCTCCATAAATACTAAAGTTAGTCATGGAGTTCCACAAGGTTCTGTACTTGGACCAATACTATTTACTTTATATATGCTCCCTTTAGGCAACATTATTAGGAATCACTCCATTAACTTTCACTGTTATGCAGATGATACGCAGTTATATCTATCAATCAAACCCAATGAAATTAATCAATTATCTAAATTACAAACATGTCTTAAGGACATAAAATCCTGGATGACCTGCAATTTTCTGATGTTAAACTCAGAAAAAAACGAAATTCTTGTTCTTGGCCCCAAAAACCTTAGAGACTCATTGTCTAAAGATATAGTCACTCTAGATGGCATTAACTTGGCCTCTAGCACCACTGTCAGGAATCTTGGAGTTATCTTTGATCAGGATTTGTCATTTAACTCCCACATAAAGCAGACCTCTAGGACTGCCTTCTTTCATTTACGTAATATTAGAAAAATTAGACACATCCTATCACAGACAGATGCAGAAAAACTAATCCATGCATTTGTTACTTCAAGGCTGGATTACTGCAACTCTTTATTATCAGGTTGCCCCAATAAGTCCATTAAAACGCTCCAATTAATTCAGAACGCTGCAGCACAGTACTGACAGGAACTAGAAAAAGAGATCACATCTCTCCTGTACTAGCTACTCTGCATTGGCTCCCTATAAAATGTAGAATTGAATTTAAAATACTCCTCCTCACCTATAAAGCTCTTCATGGTCAGGCCCCTTCATATCTTAAAGAGCTCATAGTACCCTATTTCCCCACTAGAACACTACGTTCTCTGAATGCTGGGCTACTTGTGGTTCCTATAGTCTCTAAAAGTAGAACAGGAGCCAGAGCCTTCAGTTACCAAGCTCCTCTCCTGTGGAACCAGCTTCCAGTTGTGGTTCGGGAGGCAGACACCCTCACCACATTCAAGAGTAGGCTTAAGACATTCCTCTTTGATAAAGCTTATAGTTAGGGCTGGATCAGGTGAGTCCTGAACCATCCCTTAGTTATGCTGCTATAGGCCTAGACTATCGGGGGATTTCCCATGGTGCACTGAGCTACTCTCTTCCTCTCTCTTTCTGCACTCATTCATGTCCCTTTAATGCATGTTACTAACTTCACTTCTTCCCCGGAGTTCTTGTGCTTTCTCGTCTCGCAGGTTCTCATGGATCCTGGTGGAGCCTCCTGCCATGGTCCTGCTTGACTGCCATTGCCAATACTGTTGTTGCTGTGCACCTGTCTGTCTTTCTGTCGCTCTCTCTCTCTCTCTCACTCTCTCTCTCTCTCTCTCTCTCTCTCTCTCACCCCAACTGGTCGAGACAGACGACCACCCACCTAGAGCCGGAGGATCTGTCCTAGGTTTCTGCCTTTTAACAGGCAGTTTTTCCTTGCCCTTGTCGCCAAGTGCTTGCTCATGGTGGTACTGTTGGGTCTCTGTAATTAATGTTAAAGAGTTCGGTCTAGACCTGCTCTATTTGAAAAGTGTCCTGAGATAACTTCTGTTATGAATTGGCGCTATACAAATAAAATTGAATTGAATTGAATTGAATATAATACCCAATACTGCATTTTAAGGCAGCATCGGAGGAATCTGAGATATTGGTATTGGTATCAGAACGGAACAACTCATTGGTAACATTATACATTGTAAATAGCTTCAGGCAACACGGTTAAATTCACTTCATCAATTAATAGAAAAACTTGGTAACATGTGACAGTTTCCCTGTGGTTCTGATTTTTGTATGCTGGACAATAAAGTTAAGATCCAAATGTATTTGTTTGATCAAAACTAAGATACTGTACTGGTCCTATTAGCAATTTATAATGGGACAAATAAAGCCATGGCGTAGAGACGGACTGTCATTCAACCTTTATGATCCATTGCACACATGAAAGCACTCTTTTTGACAAACATAAACCTTATCATAAATAAATGATTGTCATAAAAGGCCTATTATAAAATATATGAAATGAATGAATAAATGTTTTCCTTTCTATTTCCTGACAGTGTCAGATGATGTGCAACCTGTGAGGCGCAGCAGCTATGATCACCTTCGACCTCTCAGTAAGTCAAACTGGACTGGACTGGATTATTGTGGTTTCTCATCAAATCTAAATCTTCAGTGTTTCATAGGTTGTGTGATTTAGACCCCAAATTCTTAAAGATCTGAAACACACAATGCTGTAATCTCAGCCAGGAAACATTAGAGAATCAATCTAGCAAAAGAAATGTGCAGTGGCAGCTCACCATCGGCCTACACACATCACTCTGCCAGTGAAACATGAGTTGATTCATATAAAGTGATTTTATGGAGCAGTGGCTGGTGGATTTTGCTTCCTTTATTTTCTGTGTGTTGTTGGAGCAGCTGGAGGATTTCTTGCTGTCTGAATACATTTTGGTGAAAAGTTTTTTTACATAATAAACTTTTATAGCTTAGCTAACAGTAGCTTACTACTGGATCTGATCTGGATAGGTGGTTTACTTCCACCTATCCAGATCAGGCTTTAGATTGACAATTCTTGTTAGAAGGATGTTTTAGTCTTTTTATGGACCCTGATGACATGGAAATTATAGAATATCATCATTCTTATCCTTTAACACTGACTACAGTGTGAAGAAGGTGACTCAAGTTATATTCCCCATTTTGTCCATGAGGAAGTCTATAAGTATTCCTATGAGAATACCGATGACCTTACCGATGACCTAACTGATGGAAATTATGGGTATGTCTACAATACTGGTGGGGAATAAAACAAGGCTAGTACCTCTACACTGGATAGTTGACATATATCAAGTATCGAGGCACGACCGAGCCAACCTTTCATGACTGTTTTCATTTGTGTTGTCATTTCAGTGTCTGAGCTCAGGGTTGTTCTGCTGGGGAACAGCTGGTCTGAGAGGAGTTCAGTGGGGAACGTTATACTGGGAAAGACTGTGTTCAACACTGAGGAAGAACCAGACAGATGTCTGAGGTTCAGAGGACAGTTAAAGGACAAAGAAATAGTTCTCATTAACACTCCAGATCTGCTGCATCCTGACATCTCCCAACAACAACTGACAGAACATGTAGAAAACTGTGTGAGACTATCTGATCCTGGACCTCATGTGTTCCTGCTGGTTCTACAGCCTGAAGACTTCACTAAAGAACACAAACTGAGACTACAATCAATCCTTGAAATCTTCAGTGATGGATCATTTGATCATTCACTGGTTCTGATATCAGCACCCAGAGAGAAGAGTTCAGGTGTCAGGGAAGACTACATGGACTATCCACCCTTAAATAACATCATGAGAATTTGTAGAGACCAACTCTTCTGGAAGAAAACCACTGAACTTCCAGAGCTGTTGGCACACTTGGACCATATTGTAAAGGAGAACAGAGGACAACATGTGAGCTTCGAAGCATTTGGGGATTCAGCATCTGCTTTACCCGGTGGTCCTCAAAGACGGAAACAACAGGAAACAATGTCTGCTATCTCAGACACGGTTAAAGTTACTGGTGAGTGAGTGTAATAGGTGATCACCTCATCGGCATAAAACCAGTGCCATCACAGAATTTCTCCTTTGAATAGTACAATCAAGAATGTTCATTGTTGTGTCATGGTCGAGGTAAAATAATAAATAACTTTAAAGTACAACTAAATAATACCCCCAAATATCTTAAGAGTCTAGGATTTTCAGAGTGTCGTACTCAAGAACAACGCAGATCATTCTTCGTCCATTACAGTCTCAACGCCAATGAGTGGGAACTGTCTACCTTCCCCAAAACACAACAACTTTTCTATCTTTGTGTAGAGCTGTGAGATATCCCACTGCACCAATGGTCATGGTTCAGGAAATGCGTATTGGACTCAAACAAAGCAGGCGGCAGGATGACTGAATGACACTGATTTACGTATTTGTAGTGCAGCTTACTGGCAGGTACAGGTAGGCAGACGGACAGAGTGTGTAATGGTCAAAAGGGGGCACCTCCATGAGTCTAATGGAGAAATGAACCTGCTTCTTACATGATTTATTAGGTCAGTGAATGGTTTCCTCACAAGTTTATGGTCTCAATTAGGGATGTCACAATAGCAGAAATGTAGTAGTCAATACCAATACCAGTGAAATTCCACAATTCTCGATACCACAGTAAAAAATAGGGATATCCCGGTCGAGGTTTGTTGCATCTGATCCCCATTAATATTGAATATCTGCTGATAAAAAAGTCCTGATCAATACTTGTCATTTCCTTAATAATATAGGTGAACTGCTCTGCATTGCATTAAGAACAAAACTGCCTGCCTCCTTATTGTTATTTTATACTTTATATAATAAAGCGGGCTATAAAACATCCTAACAAACTCTCTTTGTATAATTTTTTGGTCTTATTACTGTCTGCAGGGAGTTTGTCTTTCTCTTTAAAAGTGTCCTACAGTGTTTGTTGCTTCAGTGCGGGCAAATTTCCCCATGGGGATCAATGAAGTATTTCAGATTCTTCTACAAACAGACGTTACAATAGGTTCGAACTTGTAACAAACAGGACAGATAGGATGATAAAGTCTAGATGAAGCAAAAGTAAAAACCAACAATGCAACTTAGAACATAGCAAGTAGGATAAACTGATAAAGAGCAAAGCATCTGGGCTGGTAGATGAGTGACGGGACTGAGATGAGATTTCTGTTATGAAAATGACCAGAACACAGTAACTAACTCCTTAAAGATTGTTTTGTGGAATGTGGTGAGTTAGATCCCGTTACACAAAGCCTCGATACTGTGTAAAGCTGAAGGGGCCAGAAGGGCCTTCTCATTGGAAATGGGATTTCTAAGTTACTACATTAATTTATTAAATACAGGTTTGGTTCTGTTTACGACACAGATTCTTATCCCTGATTTCTTCCTCTCTCTCATTGTGTTACAGACTTTGCACTCAGGATTGTGCTGTTGGGGAAAAGTGAGGACAAAAAGACAAGACTTGGAAACTTCATCGTTGGAGACAAAGGGGCTCAATTCCAGAAACCTTCTCTAGTCAAGCAATGTGAGGTAATCTCCGGGGAGTGGAAAGACAGACCGATAACAGTAGTTAAAGCTCCAAACATCTACAGTCTGTCTGTGGAAACAGTGGAGGAAGAGATGAAGAGATGTGTAGCTCTTTGTCCACCTGGACCAAATGTTCTGCTGCTGTTAGTGAAACCCTTTATGTTCTCAGAGAAAAAGGCACAAAAACTGAAGTTTACTCTGAGTTTGTTCAGTCAACATGCTTTTAAACAGTCAATAGTGATCATGACACATGAAGGGATCGGAAGTTCCTCTGTGAATCAGCTGCTTAAGCAATGTGAAGGAAGACAGTACAGGATGTTTCAAAATGACCATAAACGGTTAATGAAGAAGGTTTGGAACATTGTGCGTCATAACAAAGAAACCTTCCTCACCCTCACTGCAGAGACCATAAGACCAAAGTCTGAACTCATCAGAACATCCTTAAACCTGGTTCTGTGTGGGAGGAGAGGAGCAGGGAAGACTTCAGCAGCCGAGGCCATTTTAGGTTGGTCAGAGCTTCATCCAGAGTGTGTTAGACATCAGGGAGAGGTGTGTGGACGTTGGGTTTCCCTGGTGGAGCTGCCTGCCTTGTATGGAGAACCTCAGGAGGCAGTGATGGAGGAATCATTCAGGAGTATCTCCCTCTGTGATCCTGAGGGCGTCCATGCCTTCATCCTGGTCCTTCCTGTGGGTCCCCTCACTGATGAAGACAAGGGAGAGTTAGAGACCATCCAGAACACATTCAGCTCTCGAGTTAATGACTTCACCTTGATTCTGTTCATTGTGGACTCAGATCCTACAGATCCAGCTGTTGTTAACTTTGTGAAAGAAAACAGAGACATCCAGAAGCTCCGTCAGAGCTGTGGAGGAAGATATGTTGTTCTCAACATCAAGGACAAGCAGCAGATCCCAGAGATGTTGGAAGCTGTGGACAAAATGAGATCATCTAATGGACGACCATGGAGCTATACAACAGAAACATTTGCATGTGCCCAAAGAGATAAGGTCCTACAACAAGGGAAAAACATCACCACACTACAGGCTGAACTTGAGGACCTGAAAACAAAAAGGACAACCAGCTGTAAGTATAGTGTTTCATTGATTCACAACCTCTTGAGCCTGTGCGGTAGCTACTGTCAGCATTTCAGGTAACTCCTGGTCTTTATATTTCACAGGTGATGAAGAACAGAGTCCAGAGTGTCTCAGGATTGTGCTGATGGGGAAGACTGGCTGTGGAAAGAGCTCTTCAGGAAACACCATTCTAGGAAGAGACGAGTTTAAAGCTGAAACTTTCCAAAGATCAGTCACTAAACACTGTCAGAAAGCACAGTGTGAAGTCGATGGTCGACAGGTGGTTGTGGTCGACACTCCTGGTCTGTTTGACACAACTCTGTCTCATGAAGAAGTTAATGAGGAGTTGGTGAAATGCATCAGTCTTTTGGCTCCAGGACCACATGTCTTCCTGTTGGTGTTGGAAATCGGCAGACTGACAGAAGAGGAGAAGGAGACATTGAAACTTATCAAGAAAGTATTTGGGAAAAACTCTCAAACATTCACCGTAATTCTCTTCACAAGAGGAGATTCACTGGAGCATCATGAACAGTCTGTTGAGGAATTTGTTGAAAAGGGTTGTGATGATTCCTTTAAGAAGCTGATCTCTGACTGTGGAGGAAGATACCATGTGTTTAATAACTACAATAAACACAACCGCACACAGGTCAGTGAGCTGATAACCAAGATTGACACCATGGTGAAGGAAAATGGAGGCAACTGCTTCACTAATGAGATGCTCCTGGAGGCTGAAGCAGCGATCCAAAAGGAAGTAGAAAAGATCCTGAAAGAAAAGGAAAAAGTGATACAGAGAGAGCAGGAGGAAATGGAACGAGAACACGAAGAAGAAATGAAAGAGATAGAAAAAAGGCTCGAAGAACAAAGAGCAGAAAAAGAACAGGAAAGAGAAGTGAGAGTCAGACAGCTCGAAAAAATGGAGGACAAGATGAACAAGGAGCATGAGAAGAGAAAGAAAGAACAAGAAAATAGAGAGGAAGATGACAGAAAAAAGATAAAACAGGAAGAAATGCAACAACAGGAGTGGGAAGGAAAGATGAAGGCTTTGCAGGAAAAAATAAATTCTGCCTCAGATGAAGAAAAGAGAGTCGAGCTGAAGCAAAGGGAAGAAGAGATGAGAGAAGAACAAGAAGCGAGGGAGAGGGGACAAACACTATACTGGGAAAAACGCAAGAGAGAGAAGGAACATAGACGAAAACAGGACCAAGTAAGACTCAGAAAGCTCCAAATGGAATACGAGCAGGAAAGAGACAAATATGAAAATCTAATGAGAAATGAAGATCAACACACAAGAGAAGATTTGGAAAAGATCAGAAAAGAGTTTGAGGAAAAATGTAAGAAAGTAAAGGATGATATGAAGAAGAAATATGAAGAGGAGGCCAGAAAGCAAGCTGAAGAATTCAATGAATTCAGAGTGAAATATGGCAGCAACTTTGCAGGTCTGATGAAAGAGCACATGGAGGAAAAGGAGGCACTGAAGCAGGAGCATGACCGACAAATGCAAGAGACTGAGGAGAAGTACAGCCGAGAGTATGAACTGTTAGAAAATCTCTTAAGTCACAAAGAAATAAAGCTGAAAGAAGACCTCGGACAAAAAGAACAACAACTCAAAGAAATAGAGGACATGAAGAAAGCACAGGAACAAGAAATAAATGATTTGAAAGAAAAGTACAAAAACAAATGTATCATCCTCTGATAAACTGCCACTGATCCACATCCATCAGCTAACTCCTCCCGTAGGTGGGGGCCAGGAGATCTTACACTGAGCCTCACTGAACTCCCCTTTATAGCACAAAGAACTCTTTAACTGAAGCAAAGTGCTGGCCTCAGGAGAGTCCAGCTGTTGTTGTAAAGTACGAGTCTTTTTGTTTTTAACAGTTTGTTCCCGACTGGTGAAATAACCAGTCACATAGTCACATTTGGATAAATTATTTAAATTAGATTTTACAGTCTTTTTTACAGTCGATTTAAAGGTTTCCAACAGACACATTCTCTCCAGTCTCTGTGAGCTGCTCCTTCTCCCTCTCTTCTACATATTCACTAATATTAGATATGATCAGATACTGTGGAATCAATGATGGTGATAAACACATATTCAGTCAGAAGTACAGAGGCAGCGCTATTGTTAACTGTCCAATAAAAAGACAATAAATGGATCTTCTGAAACAAATGAAATCTTATGTCTAAAACAGCAGAGACATCAGTTCCACCTGGTTTGCTGAGTGAATCCGTTCTACCTGGATGACCATGAACCCTGAGCAGCTCACCTGGTCTGGCAGCTGGAGCTCGTGTGTTTGCTCCGAGTGCTGGTCACTGTGTTAGATTGAGATATTTCTGAATGGAGGAGGATTTCTGAACATATTTCATACAAACACGATGTATGATTATTGATTGATTGTATGTAGGTGACAATACAACTGGTGGAGCTCAAAGGTTCATTTTTTGAGTAAATTAAAGGATCAGAACATTTAGTGGACATTTTTAGGTAGAGTTGATGACTGTATTTCCTGTATCTGTATAAAGATTCAAATATGTCCATAATCATGAAATAATATCTTCCATTTTGATTCCTTATGTGTTCTTTTTCCCGTACATGTTGTAAAAGCTTTATCAGTCGTTTGTTTTTCTCAGCTGAACAATTGGAAAATGTTTTATCTTAATAAACCAAACTAAAAGTGGAAAGACATGGTCTTTGTCTCTGCTCAGAAAAGATTATTAGCACAAAGGTCTTTACAGTCTGATTCATTTGTATCAGCTAGGGATCAACCGAGGGCACCCAAGTGGGATGGATGCCGTCTCTCCTAATCAGACCAGGTTTTCCCCAAAAAGGCTTCCAGTTATCAATGAAGCCCACATCGTTTGCTGGACACCACCTCGACAGCCAGCGGTGGAATGACGACATGCGGCTATACATGTCATCACTGGTCACATTGGGGAGGGGTCCAGAGAAAACTACGGAGTCCGACATTGTCTTAGCATAATTACACACCGACTCCACATTAATTCTTAGTGACCTCCGATTGGCGTAAACGGGTGTCGTTACCGCCGACGTGGATAACAATCTTACTGTATTTACGTTTACCTTTAGCCAGCAGTTTTAAATTTGATTCAATGTCGCCCGCTCTGGCCCCAGGGATACATTTAACTATGGCCGCTGGCTTTGCTAACTTCACGTTTCTGACTATGGAGCTGCCAATAACCAGAGTTGGTTCCTCAGCGGGTGTATCGCTGAGTGGGGACAATGTATTAGAAACATGAATGGGTTGGTGGTGAACTGTGGGCTTCGGCATTTTAGTCTTCCTTCGCTCAGTCACCCAGCCTCCCTGTCTGCCCGGCTGCTTGGGAACTACCGGAGGAACTACCAGAGGAACTACCGGGGGAACTACCGGAGGAACTACCGGGGGAACTACCGGAGGACAGCTAGCAGAAGCTACCTTCGGTCGGACCGCACCGGCTACTGGGGGCTGGCTAACTATAGCGGCTAAAGATATCTCTGTGGTGCGGTACCGTTCCTCTAACTCACTAAGCCTCGCCTCCAGCGCAGTAAATAAACTACATTTAATACAGGTACCATTATCATTAAAGGAGGCAGAGGAAGAACTGAACATCTGACACACTGAGCAGGACAGAGCAAAAAGTCACTAAAAGAAGGAGTAGCTCCGAGTGCTTAGGTAGAACTAGTCTACATTTAAATGTTAAGCGGGAAAATAACCGCTGTAACGAGTAAAACAAATTGAATTTGCATATTTCCAAGGCCAGGTAATGCAATAAATTGATTTTTCATTTACAGTATGGTTTATCTTCTGTGTCTTCATTTTATTGAGAATAGTTATATATATAATCACTGTTTATTGCCTTACATTTGATATAGGACAAGAAGACAACAATAACAGTATAAAATGATAAAAATTTTTTGAAATATGAAGTCACAGGACTTAATTAAGGCATAATAAAGGTCCAGGATACAGGACAGTGCAGCATATCAGTGTGGAAAGGGCTTTAAAAATAAAATTCTCAGTAAAAAGGGGTAAAACAACAGTAGCTTGGGCCTGAAATAACAGGGTATCAGGGTGAGATAACCCCACCGCATCAATCACAGTATAGGAAGTGTGCACACAGAACAGCCTGCTTTAGAACAACAGTAGCACATCAGGGAGGGACAGACATGGCATACACAATTAGTTTGCTTTTTTTAAAACAGCACATCAATCACAGCATAGGCAGTGTAAGGTGTCAAAGCAGCACAGGTGTACACAATGCAGTGGGATGACAGTATGACACTGTGAGGGAAGAAGACAGATGCATGACAGTGTGATACAGGTGAGGCAACCAAGTCCCCGAAACTGTCCATGATCCCATCCTGAATGTGGACCGGTGTTGGTGAGAAGCCTCCACACCACGGCAAGGTCCCGGTCCTCGTGGAGGTCGAACAAAACACACACACACACACACACACACTGAACTATGTACACTGCACCCCGACATAAGGGCAAAGTGAGTCCGGTGCTCAACTCTTGTACTTCTCCCTCATCTCCCTCAACCAGTCCTCCACACTCCTACCCACTGTTGGCGCACAAAAAGTGTCTGACTTGTAGCGGGAGTGTCAAGTCTCCTTCCGCCTGGCTTGTCCACACTGTCCGCACACCTGCCCAGTCCGCACAGTCTTGGCCCGTTTCACCGTCTTCGTCCTGCTGTACACAGTCGAGTACGGCACAGAGGGAGGAGCAGCAGCAGGGTGTGCTGCAGCTAGAGGCCGAAGGAGCTGTGGCGCTAGGAGTTGTGGCGCTGTAAGTGTCTGAGGGAAGATG